GGAACGAGCCCGCAACCCAGGCATGTGCCCTAGGCTGGAATCGAACCTGGGACCCTTCAGTCTGCAGGCTGACGCTCTATCCACTGAGCCAAGCCGGCCAGGGCCACAATGCCTTTTAAAACTATTGTGAGGATGAAATGACAAAAGACATACATGCGTAGCCCTTAAAACATTGCCCGGCACATAGGAAGCCTTCAGTAGGTGTTTGCCGTTGTTATTTGCATTAGGGTTCTTCAGAGAAACAGAACCAACAGAATGTGTGTGTATATTATATACAGAGACTTATTTTAAGGAATTGGCTCACACAGTTGTGGGGTCTGGCAAATCTTAAATCTGCAGGGCCGGCTACCAGGCTGAAACCCAGGGAAGAATTGTTGTAGTTTCAAGTTCAAAGACAGTCTAGAGACAGAATTCTTTCTCCCTCCAGGACCATAGTCTTCTCTTAAAGCCTTCTACTGATTAGGTGAGTATGAGGAGTAATCTGCTTACTTTTAACATATATTACTGGTGTAAATGTTAATCACATCTAAAATATCTTTCACAGCAATATCAAAACTGGTGCCTGACCAAATATCTCAGCACCGGCCTAGCCAAGTTGACACACAAAATTAACTATCACACTGTTATTTGTTTCCTATCTTATTTCAATGGCTAAAACTTTCAGGAAAATAATAAAAGTAATACCAGACATCCTTATCCTTTTTCTAATTCTAATGGAAAAGCTCTTCTGTGTCTTCATTAAGTATCTCTACTAAGTACTACTAAGGAACTATTCTCTATTCCCATGTTAGTATATTTTAAATCATTAATGGGTACCATCTGCTATGATGATTATGTAATTTTTCTCTCCTGACTTTTTGAAATGTTTTATTTATAGATTTCCTATTAATACACCATTCCTTGCATTCCTATGGTAAACCTTACTTGGTCACATTGTAGTTTTCTCTTCAGAGGCTGCTGGGTTTAATTTCTTAGTATCGCAGTTCATTTTAAATGTGTATCCCTAAGTCAATGTTGGTTGTGTCTGAAGCGTTTTGGTTTTCATTGTTTTGGGGGAAGGGTCTGTCTTTGTGATCTTTGTTTAAACTTGGTATTGTACTTTTAATCTTGCTCAGTTCATAAGTGAATTGTGAGAATTCCATGTTTCTCTGTGTCATGTGATGATGCATAAAGCATGAGACTAATTGTGTTCCTAGTGGCAAAATATACAGACTATCTTATCACAAACGTAATTTGGTGTCTCCTTCCTTTGTAAATTCCTTTTCACTGACTCAATATTAACATTATATCAACTCAATATTATGCTAAACATCAATTCAATAGTATGCTTAAATATATATATATTTAGTAAAATATATAAATTTAGTAAATATATATATATATATATATATACACACACACATACACTTTGTTTTCCTTATTTAAAAAAGGATATTTCTTTTTACTCTGTCTTTCAGATCTCCTACCTACTTTCTGTAACTCTCTGTAAACTTCCAACTGGAAAAATAAAAAGTCCCTAGCATGAATAGCCAGCTGTTGTTCACAAGAGGTGGCCATTAGAGCCCTGGTGTCTTGCTTTAGGAATCAATCGTATATTCTTTGATGAGTTTGTTTTCCTTATTTAAAAAAGGATATTTCTTTTTACTCTGTCTTTCAGATCTCCTACCTACTTTCTGTAACTCTCTGTAAACTTCCAACTGGAAAAATAAAAAGTCCCTAGCATGAATAGCCAGCTGTTGTTCACAAGAGGTGGCCATTAGAGCCCTGGTGTCTTGCTTTAGGAATCAATCGTATATTCTTTGATGAGTTATAATTTTTCATTTCAAAAGCATCACTCTGTGGGGCTTCTCCTACACTGAGACCAGCATAGGCCAACATGGTTTATACTTCATGTGGTTTCCTACAAAACAAACTCAAATAAACAAAAGTATGAAACATGTGCGGCCATTCCTGGCTGAAAAGGAGAGCCAGGGTTTGGCCTGGGTGCTCTTAGCAAGGACAGCACAGAGCTCCGGGCTTTCCTTCTGGGGCTGAGCTGCCACTGAGGGCTCTGGGTAGCTGCCGTTTCAAAGTGAGGCCAGCAGTTGGAACAGTAAATTCTGAGTCAGAATTTAAAAGCCTGCCCTGCCGCACTGCGTGCTGCCCTTCACAGCAGATGGCCCAGACGCTGATCCACACTGCTCCAGACTACAGCGGCCGAGAGCCAACTGCAACCCTGGGCCAGTATTCACTGAGGCCAGGTTTTACACTTAATCTTCTTTATATTTAACTCTTGTTTTGCTTTCTGGTGAAAGATTTTTAACTAGTCACCCAACTGAAAGTTATTTCATGATCCAGCATGGTCCAAATAGTGTTCTGGGAACACTAGTGACCCACAAATGTAATAGGTATTCCAAGAGTTTAAAAAAAAAACAGATTGTCTTCAAATAAATTTGAGAAAAGCTAGGTTAAACAAAATCCAACTGATTTCTTCGCTGCACGACCCCACAGAGCCTTCAGTATATTGATGTTCTCTGTCACTCCAAAACTTTTTTTTCATAGTATACCTATTAACATTTTCAAGTACACTACTATTGGGTAGACTATATTTTGGGGAACATCTTACGTCATCACTATTATCATCACCTACACTTACTGAGTGTTTAGTAGGCATTGAGTACTGTGCTGGGGAATTTTCATGCTGTATCTCACTTAATCCTTGCAATATTTCTAGGAGGTGGATGTTGTCTTCATTGCATAGTGGTGTAGAGGGGTTAAGGAACTGGCCCACAAGGACAGCACCAATGAATTGCAAACACCAATTTGCATGCAGGTCTGCCTGATTCCAAAGTCTATGTACTCAACCAGTGAGCTACATTTGTTATAGCAGTGCTGCACTTTGAAATAATTACCTTATAAAATACAGTCATGTGTAGCATAATGACATTTGGGTCAACAATGAACTGCATATACAATGGTTATCCCATAAAATTATAATGAAGCTGGAAAATTCCTATCATCTGGTGTCTTTATGGCAGTGCCCTACCATTGTAGAGCAATGCATTGCTCACATGTTTGTGGTGATGCTGGTGTAAACACACCTACTGTGCTGCCTGTCATATAAAAGTAGCCCTTACAGTCATGTACAGCACATAACACTCGATAATGATAATAAATGACTGTTGGGAGAAAGCCCCAAAAGTCTAAATTCAGGATTGATTTAGAATAACTGACACTAAGCCTTATTCAAATCCATAAGAGCTCTAATGGGAGAAACGTACATACATGGGCAAAGCAGCTGCTTTTTCCCAGTGCTGGCTGGGAAGAAATCCACACCCTCCCAGGGGGTTAATAGTAAAACCACATGGTGGGTAGACACAGAGACCACAGAAAGAACAATGCATTTCTAAGTTAACAGATAATACTGGGCAGTTTTCCACACTCTATACTTTCATTAACCTCCTTCCTGGGGGCATGGCATTTATCTTTGGGGGGCATTTGGTTTTCTGGGTAGTCAGCCAAGCCTGAGGCCAAAGAGAATTACAGTCACAGAGGGTTAAACAGAGATTCCAACATTTCCCAGATGCCTTTGCTGCTGGAAACATACTGTATCTCTGAGCTAGTTCCCTACAAAGAGCATGTTACTGGTTTACGTATTTACTATACTACTAGAGGCCCAATGCACGAAATTCGTGCAAGAATAGGCCTTCCTTCCCCTGGCTGCCAGCACCAGCTTCCCTCTGGCACCTGGGACCTGGGCTTCTCTCCAGCCACTAGCAAGTACCCGGGACCCAGGCTTCCCTTGCAGCCCTGGCTTCGTCCAGAAGGTCGTCCAGAAAGACGCCCAGAAGGACATCCAGTCTAATTAGCATATTACACTTTT